GCGGGGGAAAAATTGAAGAAATGAGGAAAAAAGACTGGGACAATTGGCCCCATGGCACAGAATAAGTTGTTTATCTCCTGCAAAACAGTTGAGAGCCATCACATTTCTACCCATGCTGGAACAGCTGCTTATCATGCATACAGGTGTACAATAACTGCAAGCGCATCACTTTCAACAGGATATTTCTCTTTGGGGTGGCAACTGCTTATTATGTTTAAACAGAGAAAGATCAAAGAAAATCTCATGCAGAATCTGCTGCATTCACAAGTGCCCCACGATAGATCTCAAAGCAATGAAAAGACAGAATTCAACTTACTGTTCAGTGCCGTTCTCTTGTCCCTCTGGAAGAAGGAACAAAGTTAACATCATTTTGACTGCTGGAACTCAGATAAGTAAACATTTAGACATAGCTATTGCAGTTGCAAGCATAAGGCTTAGTTGTGATTTTGCAGTACTGCATTAAGTACATTAACACAATCAACCAGCTTGAATGGTAATTGGTACTTTTCTAGTTTGTCTTCCCAAAAGATAACCATGTCACCCATGAAAGTGAACTGATATTTCTCAAACGGATACTTCTGGCAACTAGGGAGAATGCTATGCGACTCGCGCAAGAGCACAACAGAAGCACATTTTTCCCTGCAGCTCCCAAATCCCCAGGTAGCTGGCACAGAGGAGGTGAACACGCAACGGTTCTAGAGTATGTAACAACTGCATTAAAAGATCCAGGGTGAGGGGAGTGAGGGAACAAGCTGCCAAGCTATATGCTCTGGGGGGTTTAACCTGGCATGACATCTGAGAACAGAGTCTGTCATCCCTGCCAATGAGGAACAGGTTTCTCCCCAAAATGAATCACATACCAAATATATTTTATTCTTATGTGCAAGTGTTGGCAGATGGATGGGGCCAAGGGGTTATATCAGAGACACAGAGCCAATTCTAGCCCCATGGCACTGGGCACAGGGCTCTCTGTCCATGGGGGAAGCACACTGGATAGACCTGAACAAATGCTGCAGGAAGCACCACAGATATCAATCTACTTTAGCTTCCAAGTGAATTTTTTAGTACTGTGCCTGCTGGCATTTGTGCATGGGGGAGGCTGGCTCACCTCATATCTTTACCTCTTGATTCTAAATATTGAGTAATTTCCTAAGCAAGGATCACACCTTCCTCTGTTTATCTGGGTCTGGTTTTCCGTGTCATTGGCTAAACTGGTTAAGACACACAGTTTGCCTTGGTCTACAGCTTCAACACCCTGTTGTGATCCTATATTTTCAAGGCCTAGTGATTTCACAGTTGAAGCTCTACACAGGTCTCCTAACTCATGCCAGCTCACAGGGAGAGAAAAAACAAAGTCTGGATTCAAATCCAGGTTTTCACTTAATGGAGAATTACACTTGCCTGTGGCCCACTCAGAGAACTCTTTGAAATATTTGGCAAATACAGTTATACCCCATTATCTCAATTATTTCATGGACAGCAGTGAAATAGATATTGGTTTTAGCTGATCTGTCAAAATGACTGTTTGTGAAAATACTATTTGCTCAGGGATTTTGTTCCGATGTACATTATACTGTAACTGGAAAATTTTACTTATCTATAATGTGTGTGTGTATGTATCTATCTCGGTATTTCCTCAAAGAAAGCACTGATATTTCTTTGCCTTTGTTTAGAACAGAGACAAAAAAAATACAGTGATTTTGTTAAACAGTATCTCCAAACTTAGTTTTCACTGCATTTTTCTACCTGATTGACTGATTGTGTTAGCACAGCTGTTTGTTAGCTCTCTGTAGCTGCAAAAGAGTGAACAAAAAGCTTTACGGCATTATATATTCTCCAAAAATGACAGACTTTTTTGCTCCCTCTGTTCTTCCTACTGATTTTGAAAATGAAGTGTTACTTTCCTACTTTAGGCAGAATACTTTGAAGTACAAGAAGCTTTCCTATCAGACTACTGCAATGTCTATGGTTAAGGTAAAGAGACCTTGGATATCTTTTAATAATAGAAAGCACATTGATCTTTTTCCCCCCACAGAGAAAGTAAACCAAATACCTGGAGTTTTCTTCTGGCACATTCTGTACAAAGCCACCAGTGAGAAGACAGAAAGGGTAATGACTATCAAGGTGATGACAACTGGCAAGATAACACCTGCAAAAGAGGGAGAACAACATTTTACCTGCTGCCCCAGGCTTGCATTGCCTCTGTGTATAGCCACTCGCACGCACAAAAGCGAGAGGCACCTCCAGCTCCGCTTCACCAAACATTATTAATTTCTCTGGAGCTGGGTAACCTGCTGCTCCTGTTATTCCTCCTGCACCCACCGAGCCTCAGATTTGTGGAGAGAGTATTTAGGCACCTTCCTTCCCTCACTCTTAGTCCTTCCCTGGCACCTGCGCTGACCTGTGGGGGCTGGTATCACCCATTTTTCTGTACGGGGATGACATTTTAGCACTTGTCCCACTAAGACCATCATAATCTTGATCAAAATACTCATGATTCACTCCCAGTGTTGATGGCCCTCAAAGGTTTTGCAAAACAGTTCTGTTTCAAGAGTAAATTTTTGATACATGCAATTTTTTTCCCCCTCTTTTTTGAAAACAACTCATCCGAAATTCAGTAACTGAAGCGATTATTTCTCTTTTAACATTGTACACCCAGAAAGACACCAAGGAGTTACATAATTCAGTAACATTCCCCACAGCACTTACAACCAGGGATAGAAAATGCAAGATCTCCTTTTTAAATGAGGACATTTCTTTCCTTTTATTATTTCCCACCATCTGCCATTTCCTGACAGGTGTTTCCCAGCCAAGAAGCAAAAAGGAAAGAATTATGTAACGAAGAGAAGCTTTCCTGGGGAAATATATAAGCCCAGTTTCTTCCCATTTATCTTTTTTCTGGCAGTGATCAGCCACATTCAAATTTAGCAGGCTCTCTCTCGCCTGCTGGCCTAAGCCCTGTGTTGGGAGAGGCTGCGGCTGCGTTCCCACAGCCTTCCTCAGCATCAGCTGTCATGCCCGTCTGATATTTAGAAATTGCCATTTTTTATGGTTTTTGATGCAATTAATATTTAACATTCATATAGATGTGTGTGCGCATCTATGGAACTAGAGGGAGAATCTGGAGACAAGTTTACAGTGGAAAAACATCAAACATATTTTACTAAGCCAGTAGTTTGGGCAGGAAATAGCAGATCTGCAGCAACACTCTTGCCCTAGAGATGCATAATATTAAAATAAAAGATTAAGTAACACGCATCATGCAAATATCAAGTGGTCTAAGAGTTTGCAAAAGACTCCCTCCTAGTCCTTCTCTCCCATGACAATATGAACAATATATTCATATAATACATTCAGAAAAATATATTAATATAATATCTACTCAACAGTATATGAACAACATTTTAATATGTTTTCTTGTGTCTTCTCCTACAGGGGATGACTCAGTTCACATTTGGTTTTTTTTTCAGTTTTATCACTTTGACTTCAGTCCTTGGCAATAATTGTGCTGCTCTCCAGTGAGAGTGGTGTCAACTTGTTAAGCTCTGTTTCTCTTTGAGAGGAGTTTTATAACAGTCAGTTAAACTGGGTTTGTAATAGGGTCTACGTCTGGTAAGGCTAGAAATAAAACTACCAGTTTCATTTCTCTGCTTCTCCAATCACTCATCAAAAGATCAACTGAAAACTCAAAAGCTGGACAATAAAGCAGGAACACTCACTGGAATAGTGGATAGGGCTCTCTGATGCATTCTTGTTTCCAGGACTGCTTCTAGAACTGTCAGAAGCTAGATCTGCAAAAGAAATATTGCCTTTCAGGTTAACAGGTAATTGCCAGAACTCCTCAAATAACTCTCCCCTAAAAATTACCCTCCCAAAACCACTTCTGTGTCCCCAATTCTGGAACCGTTTGGTGCTCCACAGCTATAGTTCTTCTCATACCTGGACAACTTGGCAAGAGAAAAAGTTTATCTAGTGTGGCCTAGAAGAAACACAGACTTTGCATGGGTGCAGTGCATAGAATCATCTGCTTGTCCACTTACAGGTGACCAGCTGCAAACTTTTTCACTTTTAGGAGTTTAAGGTACTGTTCAACATTAGAAGAGATCTCTTGACAAGCAAATAAAGAAGCAAGAGAGTGAAAATTAGACCTGCCTCTAGAAGAAGAAAGACCAAAACTTCTCACTGCTAATTAAAAAAAAAAGTGCTAATAGTAGATGAAGAAATCTAAAGAGGTGCAATATTAGTAGCTAAAGATTTTCTTGAGAGTTGAGTGTTATAAAGGGATCTGCGTACTCTCTCTGCCACATTTGGGGACAGCAATAACTATTGGGAGCCTCTGGGTATTTTTTAGGGCAGGGTTTAAAGGAATGCACTTCTACCTTCAGGTGCCAATCTGAATATGAGTCAGGTATCAACAACCCAAGATATTTATTACCTTGTTGCACACAGTCTGTGGAAAAACAATCACTGAACTTTGAGAGAGATAAAAGAAAAAGCAAACATCGGTGCTTCCCTAGTTACATTATACATCACACAGGATTGTATTCTGTGTCGGACAGAGGCTTGGGTAGATGTGTGCTTAGTGCCACTGAAGAAGCTAACTAGCTGGACAAATGGATAGCTCGATGCCTAGCATCGAAGTTGTAACTCAAGGCCAAGCATTTCCATCGCTCACTTAAATATCAGAAATGGCTCTCACACAAAGGTGCCTGGGGAAGGTGGTCTGTTAAGCAGGGGGCCTAGTAGAGAGTATAGCTCTGTATATAAGTAGCGAGAACCTGGCAGCAGCCACTGAGGCTCTGTTGCAGGCTCTGATCCATTGCTCAGGTACCCATTCATACCCCATGCACCTGTGGGGATGCACAGAAGAGTGCTCAACCTGACGGGTAGAAACCACAAAATTAGCTGGGTCATTAAAACCAATTTCCCAGGGCCATTTTGAGGGCTAGAATACAATTTTGTTCTGCTAAGTCTCTGTATGACAGGTCCATCTTTTTTACAGATGGATTTATTACTTTTTTGTACAGGCAGCACATGTAATTCTAGTTTGCTGAATTAGAGTACAAACAAGGTTTATTTGTCCTAACTCTGTAGGGGTTCCTTGTTGCATTGATTCTAAAAACTCCCACTCACTATTGATAAATGTTTTGGTGATTGGTTCTTCTCCACTAATCTCCTTTTGCCCATATTCCCATTCTCACAACATACTGGTCCATTCAGATATATAAGAGTACATTGTCTCCTGATGCAAGAGGAGTAAAGCAGAGAACAGCCAGGGGTCAGTTTCTCCACAGGTTTGCTGGATATGCCACTATACTGGATTTTCCAGGCAACTAGGAGCCACATGGTCCTACTTAAAAATTTATGTGGATTGACTGGTAGTGCAAAGGGAAAGATTTGAGAAAGCTGTGTTTTCATTTTTGTTCTGCTGTTGTGTAGTTGTCTGAATTTGGGGCAGATTGTTTAGCTTCTCTGTTTCCCTCCTCCCCGCCCCCCTCCTCCCCTCTCCTTCATTTGTCTGGCTAGAGACCAAAACCTCCTAGGGAAAAATGATCACTTACTATGTCCTTCTGTGGTGCTGAGACATTCTGATGCTAGAGTGTAGGAAACAATCATTGTCTGAGACCCTTATCTCTGAAAAATCACTATGTTTCTTTAAAGCAGAAGTTCTCTCTCCATGGTGCCTGTCTGCTGAGGGGTGATAATGTAAGGATGGAAACTGTGAGCCATCACCAAGTGACTGAAATAATTCTCATGAATTCGTAATTCCATGCGGTTGCTCTAGATTTCCCAGGGAAATACTACTGCCCTTTTCACTACCTTACCTGACATACTGTGTGATACACAGGGCAAGCAGGCAATTATCACAGCAATGAGTTATCCTGGATACTGACTGAAAATGTCAACAGAAACGAATTACACTGAAAACCAGGAATGCACATCCCTGCATTTGTGCAGCATCTCCTCAGGAGAAAACCTGAGAATTCAAATTCACTGGTTATTTTCCTAGTTCTCTGTTAAATGACCAAGATGTGAGTAATGCAGGAAAGACAAATCCATAGGTTAGCATTTTAACTACTTGAGACCATAAATGAGAAATAGGTAAAAAGAAGCACTGCTGAATGAATAAAATGGATTAAGGAATTAAAACCTTTAACTCAGTTATCCACTTCATTCACTGAAGTTTCTCTCAAGCCAGACCATCCTGCCTACTTTCTCTGGATCTGGAAAGTGAATCTGGAAGATATGTTCCAGCTATGGAACAATCTGGGACCAGAATAACAATTGGAGTAATACATCCATCATGGTAACAGGAGGGACAAACTTCTGCTGGCAGCAGCAGCAACAAGAACTGCAGGGGCCAGTACAGAAGAGACTGTTCCCTGATAAGCCCAGAGAAAGGAAAATAGGACAATACAGATTCACTAGCACAGGAAACTCTTTCTTTACTCTGGGACCTGATGCTTTGTACCACAGGACGAGGAATGGGAGCCACTGACAAGAATAAACTTCTTGGTAAACACTATTTATATCAATTCCCCGTCGCATCATGCAATATGCCAGGCCTGATTTTTTTCTGTGCTCCCACCCTGTTTTCTTTTCAGTATCTGCTAGTCCAACACAGCATTCAGCTGAAATCACAGCAAAGTTATTCATTGCTACAACTTGCGCACCACTCCTCTCCTTCTCTGTATTACGCTTCAGGTTCGTTCTTCCCCCAGAGCCTCCTTGTTCGCTGAACATTTCCCTTCCTCAGGCTGCTCCCCCCCAACCCCACACCAGCCCTTTTTGCCAGTGTGCACAGAGCTCTTACTTGTCGATTTCGTCAGGGAGCTCACGTGAAAGCCTGCAATAAAACAGAAGGAACAGGTTTGTTAGTAACTGTTTCAAGGTCAGATGTCCAGAGTCTTCATATCATACAAACTGGCAGATTCTAGCAACGTGCTCAGTAACCCCACAAGAAATGCTGACCCAAACTGACATGATGACACTGTTCCCAAGCCCAGAAAGTCTGAGCTGTGAAAGCCTGCAGACATCCCTTATAGATGGGAGCAGAATCCAAAGCACAGCCTACGCTGGGTTGTTATTCTGCTTAAGAGAAGAAAATCCTGAATTAAGTGATAGATTCTTAAAAAATTCCTCCTGCCAAAACCAAGTAAGTACCTGCGGGTGAATAGCAGGCATTTAACTGACAAATAAGTATTTTAATAAAAGAACTTCAAATGCCTAATTGAGACATGTCTTCAAGTGTCACAAAATCCTTTAAAAATGAACCTTCATTAATTACCTCGGTGCTTTTGGCTAGCAGACTGCCAAGCAGCAGGAGTAAGAGGCATTGGTAATGAAGAAGAAATGGACCTTGCAGAGCGCTGTGAACAATGCGTACTGGGCCGCTACTGTCAGCTTCCCCCAGCTTCACAAGTTTTTGGTGCAGAACACTAATTTTTTATTAGCTTTTTGTTAGTATGCTGCTGCTTTTGTGTGTCTAGACTGTAGCATGCTTGGAAATTAAGGCGGCTGTGAATACTTCACATTTGGAGGCTAGCCACAGACAACCATCGCTCCCACAGCAATTTTTATTACGTTGCATTAAATCCCTTCTGCGATCACTCTGAAGTCAAAGGGAGCTGGGCATTTAACTCGTCCGTGTCTTTGAGACTATCCACCTGTGTGCACTGGCAGCAAAACATTTATCTGTTTGTACAAGACAGACTGTCTCTTGCCAGGGGCGAGTGACTGGCACTCTGCCCACCTGGTGAGGCCTCTCACACTGGATTACTGGAGCTACCATGGGAAAAAAAAAAAAAATAATCCCTCAGGCACAGAATCCTTAGCAGTTGCTCATTATTTTGAGGTATAAATCACAGCATTTGGTCAGCTTCCTCTAGGCTGGAGGGCACCATAAAAGCCCCCTCGTTGGGTCTCTTCAGACTTCACTGCTGTCACAGCATCTGTGGGAAACGTGGTGCATCTGACCCCATCCCAAGAGCTCCCCGGGAGGACGTGACCCACAAGCACATCCTCCGTGTCCAAGCTGCACCGGGCTGGGAGACTGCAGAGGGAACGGCGTGAAGGCAGCCGTAACTCCAGGCAGGCATTGAGCCTCTCTCCTCTGAGTGCCTGGGGTTGCAGCACTCCTCCTCCAACCGGGGTCCCTGGGGAGTACAAATCCACTCTTACGCCCTTGCTGCACTTTCTGGGCTGTGGACTGATGCTTTGCACAAAGACAGCTCTGACCAGCAGAGCTGTAACACGAGCGAAGCACATTATTCTACTGCTGTGAATGTACTCTCTGAAAACCAGAATGGCTGCTCTTGTTTTACCTCCTCTCTGCACCCAATTAAAAACATGGATCACTTGAGCCACTGGGGTGCAAATAACTACTTTTGCTAATGATATATGTGACAGAGTTTTAACTGCATTTTAATCACAAACATGCATGAAAAGCACATTCAGGTTGAAAAGCCAAGTACTTAAAAGTCGGCAGTAAGAGCTCTTCTTGCACATACTAAGTATTAGCAATGCTAAGTACTCTGAAGGTATACAGTTATCTCACCCTGCTTCCTAGGATCCAGAGGAGACTTTTTTCCTAAGCTTTTTATCATCTCATCAATCCATCTGCCAAAAGCAGTGTCACCTTGCTCAGAGATGATCTCTGCGATGATTCATTAGGCAATGTTTATAGCATGTTTGGGCAACATTACTGACAACAGCCAAGGAAAAGCTTTTGGGAAGTTAATAACTCGCCTGTCAAAGGAGGTTTGGAACAACACGCAGTACAGAACACAGCAGGACACATACCTGGCATTAAGGAAACATCCAAATATGATATGATTGCTTGTTACCCAAATACTGCCTTTCCTTCAGCTTATAAGGAGTGTGGGATCCCATGGAAAAAAATACCATGTGATCACACAGCAATGGTTGAACAAGCAAATGGTAAAGCCCTGTGCGTGCATATTCTTGGAGAAAGGCAGAAGACTTTGTCAGGTCTTACAAATAGGTCACTTCTCTATGAAACTTGAACCAGTGTCTTCCAAGCCTGAGGACAGTTGAGCTTTCCTAAGAAAACCCCTGAAGATTATAACATAATAATACATTTTCCCTTGATTTCACTCTTGCAAAAAAAGTGAACCATTTTGGCTCAAATGAGAGCAAATAAACAAACAGAAAAAGCACATCAAGCCTGAGACTGACATCCAGGTTCACCCCAAAGACTTAAGGTTTGTCAATGCTGCATGTGGGTGACATTAGGCTCTGTGAACACAAAGGGTCAGGCAACCTGCGGTTCAGTACCTGCAGGCACAACTAAAACCCATGCTGCTGTCTTGGCCAGACCTTGTCACTTCAGTAAACCCAGACAGCAGAAATGATCCCAGGCAGGAAACAGGACAGCAGCCCCCTGCCCTTCCTTCAAGGACTGTCGGAGCCTCCTGAACCTTTTTTATTTTTTAAAATTGCACACATCTACAAACAATAAAACTACAAGCATCCTTCCCAAAGATATCTCACACAGATTCTGCTAGAGCATGAAAAATTAAATAGGAAAAATCTCATGCCCTCTGTCTCTCTCCCCCCCATCTCCAGTATGCAAGCAAAGCGCCAGCTCACCCTCTGTTCAGAGATTGCTCAGCCCTGCCACACAAACAAAGCTGTGCTTATCCGGGCAGTTCC